TATATACAGAAATTGGTGCTCATAATAGATAGTTGGGAAGTACTGTTCACATCAACAGTGATTACTATAAACCTCTAATTATGTGCTCTAGAGAGAGCCTTGTGCCTTTCTCACTATAATTTTTACTTCTTAAACTGGAACTCCATGACTGCAATTCAAATCTCAATGGCTTCATAGTTGTTAAATGTAGGCTTATCCACGGATAACTGCTGATACCGTTTGCTCTATCCTGTTGTACCCAAGCAGACCTTGACGAGAATAATGAATTTTCTCTTTGATTTCAATGTGTAATGATAGTTTGCAAGAGGAAAAAAAAAAAAAAAAAACGACTGGCGGTTGGCTGTAATACTTGAGAGGATGTCCTTGACAGAGTGAAAGAGCTCAACACAAATTTAAACAACATTCTTGCCCCCAAGAAAACAGTCATTAACCTCACCCTCACGGTAAGACAGCATACATTAGCTAAATATCTGGGCAGCTGTTCTGTGTTGAGTTCAAGACCAGAGGAGAGAAAAAAGGAAGTCTGGAAAGCAAGGAGGGGCTGGTGAGAAAATACGCAGGGTTTGAACTCTTGAGTTGCCAGGCAAGATGGCACAACCTATAATCCCAGCACTGGGGAGGCTGAGGCAGGAGGAACCTGTGAGTTCCAGGGCAGCCTGAATTACACAGCCAGTCTCTCTCTCTGTCTCTCTCTGTCTCTTTCTGTCTCTCTCTGTCTCTCTCTGTCTCTCTCTCTCTCTCTCTCTCACACACACACACACACACACACACACACAGACACACGAAATCTGCAAAGTTGGCAAAAGCAGTAAGACACTTCAATCACGTTGTGTAATTAGCAATTAGGTTTCTGCATATCTACTCTTCACAGACAACCCTCCCCTCTGATTCACTAAATCCTGCCTGCACTTGTAGCTTTCAAGTTCACTGTGGGTCTGAGCTTACCGTTCATAATCGGTTCCACCCATCGGACTCCTACAGCACTGTAAACTGAGCAGGCAATCACAGCACTCTTATTTTGTAACTAGAAATAGCTGGAGCCAAGTAGAGGTAGAAAAAGGAAGGTATGTGATAAAATGCCTCTCTCCCTCAGAATAAAAAGGGAGAGAGCATAGGTTACAAATAACCCAATATGTTTAATTTTGCAAAAAAGCATTATTTTAGAAAAGTATGCAGGTGAAAGGTATATTTCTTATAGAATAAGGGCCTTCACTCTTATTTTAGTAAACAAAAGTCCAAAGAAAAGGTCACCGGGAAGATGAACATCCTGAGAGAAGATCGCCCTGTCAGCAGCTTGCTTACATGGGGCTGCACGACTGTCCTCAGAGGGAGCCATCCACTTCCTTCTTGGCTAATTTTCCTTCTACAAACTTACTAAAGGGATCATACGAAAAATCAGACATGAGAAGTCCTGTTCTCTTAGAAGCCTGTCATTTTGGCCCAAGGTTCACAAAGTTTCTTAACAATTATTTACCTTTCTCAATGTACTATGTCATGTATCTGAGCTTGAAGGGCTGTGTGTGCTCATAAAAGGACAGAATCTGGCATCCCATATTATATAAGCTGTTTTCAAGCAAAAATGTGACTTAGACAGATTGTTACATTTAAATAGCTGGATTTACAAGTAAAAGTACTACTTTTTTTTTAAATTGAAAAATAATGCTCATATTTTTATTAGGAGTTTTTTAACGCGGTGCTAATCACATTTGTTCTTTATCTTAAATATTCATGGAGCAACTGCTGTGTCCAGAGAATATCATGAGCTGTGAATTTAAAGAGAAGTAAGATTTTTTGATTCATAGATGGCTTACCTTATAAATCGGGGAATCAAATCTGATTTAAATATTGTCTCTGATGAAGATAATCAATAGTTATACTAGCATTATGTCAATGAACACTGTTTCAATATATTCTTTACTTTTTTAGTATGGTCAACCAAATGGTCAGTAGCAGAGAGAATAACATTAGGCCTGGGGTTCCCTCTAATATAACTGCAACTATTTTTTAAATACTCAGCTACAGATAACCCCAGGGCAATGCTACACGCCCCTCATCACCCACAGGATAGCAGCAACCCACTTGACCTGCTGTCCTGACATGACAATGTCATATGAAAAACATCTTCATGCAGCCTCTTAATACTGCTGATAGGAAAAACAGATAAAAGATTATTTCTTTAAATTCTTCATTTTAACCAGGCTATGAGTCTTAGCATTTCTTCAGTTCAAGTAAGAAATATCCTTTAAAAAGAAAAGCTAGTGTAGCCATTCACTGAAGTTTTAAAAGGCTGCTCTATACCAAACCCATGTTGTGTGCAAATACTGAACTTAATTAAAATACTATACATAAAATATTAATAGCTCCAGCTATTAAAATTACATTAAACTCTCTTTAGCTTGGCCAACACAATATGAGCTCTCTCTCTCTCTCTCTCTTTTTTTTTTTTAGTGAAGGGCAGAACTTGGCTTTATGAATCACCTTTGCTTTTTATACTGTTTGTTCCAATTCACTAAAATGAAATTTTAAACTCATAAAAGTTATTATCAAAACCATATAGTACAGTAAGGTAAGTAATTTAATCATTCTACTAGATTCTGACAAAAACATCATTCTTTTTTTCTTAAATTGTAAATAAAACCTTTTTAGAGTGTTTTTTTTAGTCCCATACAAAACTGTAGCTTTGTAAATTAAAGTGGACAGTGTCTATTTGACCTTCTCCAATGAGTGTATTAATAGAACCATTAACAAATTATTGATAATTCGGATGAATTAAATAACTTACACAGAAAAAAAAGATTTAACTCAGGTTGAGATATGAGGTACCTATTTGATAATTAGATTGCATCAACATTTTCTCCTGGTGAGAGACTGCACTGAAAAACTCAAGAGTTCCTCTGACATGTTTATGTGCACATATTATGTACTAATAAATATACACACATACAAATATTTGCACACATGTAAACATATACACAGTTCGCACAAAAAAAAGGACTGGAAAGAAATGTTCAAACGTGCATATAATTATTAATTGAACAATGAGTAGTTTTACTTTTTCTATATTTTTTCATATGTACTAATAATTTGATGTTAATCAGTTGTTACTTCCAAACACTAGAAAGATATATCATTTCTTGATAAAGTAAATCCAAACTGATCTGAAGGTTTGGTATTTTTTGCTTTCCTGAACTTCCAAAAATATCCATTTGTTAATCTGATCTGTTATATTTTAAACTATTATAAAATCTGATTTAAATCTATTTCTTCTTTAAAGTCATTTCCCAACTTTCACTCTACGTATATTTTAAGTCAAACTAAATCATCCCCAAGTTGATATTTCAAAGCATCAAATTAGTCCATTCTCTTGTTCTCTTTTGACAGACTTCTTTTGGAAGGTTCGTAGGTAGTAAGTTATCTCCAAACTGGCACAAAGTTGAAAAATAAAGAGGAAGACATTCATACACTAGTATTATATTTCTGAATCCTTACTAATGATCTCTGCTTAGTTTAAATGCACACTTGGTTTAGGAAGAAGATAAAATTTAGGGAGATGAAATCTCCAGAAAGAAATGAATCGGAAATGGATGCCAAGACGTCTATGCTTTTCCCCTTCCTTCTGTCTCTGCCCTCACTCATTCCAGATCCCGCTTAGTCTTCAGCCTTACCATTAACTCATTTCATGAGAAAGATATTTCTAAAAACCTAAATACAATCTTGGTAAATAAACAGAAGAGGAAAAGCACAAATAACAGGGGAACAGAAAACGTTCCCCTGGAGAGAGACAGGAAGGAAACATGTGTCAAGCGAATTCAGAAGAGTGACCAGGAGACCAGCCCTGGACTTCAGGGCAGCCCTTCAGAAGGGGATTTAATCAGAAACTACGTGTCGTGCAGTCTGTAGCCCCAAGCTCAATGACTCCTCAGAGGCATCTGGAAAGTTTTATGGAAACATCGAATCTTCAGTCCCATCACTGTGGATTCTCTTTACCAGGTTAGATAGCGCTTCCCTAATGATTGTTACACACGAACAAACACAAGGCTATAGAAAATGTCTCGGCCAGCTTTACATTGTTTTAGTAGAAAACCTAGTGTAGGGTATTCTATTTAGACAAATGAGAGACTATGAAAAGAAGAGGTCTTAAGTCCATGTGTCTTCTAGAAGATAATTTATGAATGAGACGGACAGAGAATTAAGAGACTAAAGGAGGAATAATGCATAGCTGTATATGTTAAACAGTTCTTTACCTTTATCTTTTTATCAACTTCTCCTCCTCTTTTCCTTCCTTTGCCTCTCCTTCCCTTTTGGTAGGATCCTCACATACGTCATTTTTTCTGCCTATATGATTCTTTTCCTCCAAAGCTCCTACTCTAATCCCTTAGCAACTCTCAGATGTCGGTGTAAATGTAGCTTCTTCAGGGAAATCTTCCCGCATCATCTCCACCGTCCTCCCTCAGAGGAGTTAGTGCCTGCTGGTAGAATGCCAAATACCCTTCCTTTAGGAACGCCGTTTAGGAGGCAGCAGAGCCTTGAATGTTGCTTTATTGATTAAAGTGGTTTCAGTACCGCGGACCCTCCCTGGGTAAAAGTACGTCATGTCAAACTACGGATTGTATGTGTGAGTCATTCTAGTAGCGTTCATGTTTTATATTTGCCAGCTGAAGTACTTCCAAAGACATAACAGATAGTAGAGAATACAAGTACCATGAAGTTTCTCATTATAAATTCAAGCTCATATCGTTTGCAAGATTTGGCAGTTGATTACCCAGTGAATGTTTGCTTAAGAAGATATTCTGGAACCCATTTGAACATTTGGGTTTTGAAGCTCACTTATGATGATTAATTAGCTCTTTCAGATTTTTATGTGATGTGAAACAGGAACAACAGCGCAAGTTTCTTTACCGTAAAAATGAAACACAGGAAATCTTTAATATGTCTTGGTTTTAACTTGCAGGAATTAACAGCATAGAGTGGATAAATAGCATATAGAAATGAAAAATTACCTGACCGTCCGTCTCTCTGGAAGTCCACATGATACCATTCTCCATCATTCACTTTCTTCTGCAGGGCTTTTATTTTGATGGTACCTGACCCCATGTCCAGGAGGAGGTAGAGGTGACCATCCAGCATCTCAATAGCGAAGAAGTCCACCTTTATCATCTGTGGATGTTTGGCATCTTTTTGATGTCTTGGCTTACCGTGGCTAAACAAGATCAGGCCATTTGGCTCTGTTGTACGAAAGTCAAAGGATATGGAGCCTGTTTTCTTTGCATTCCATTTTGGCAAAGAGATGAAAGACTCTGGGGTTTCAAAGGTGATTGGATCTAAAGTTGCAACATTTTCACATTTAAATGCCACCACTCCATGGATCTTCATCTTAGGATCACCTTGCTTGGCGAGTCGTGATAATTCCAGCCTTACATCATTATTTTTATATACAACCTGTGGGCAGAGAATAACAGTATTATAGACTTATATAGTATTACAGACATATTCTAAACATACAAGTTGGTATCAATTGTGTAATTTGCAAACAGATGACACAAAGCACAAATTATTATTCAACTTTGTTGTATAAAGAAGTTTTTTGTAAACAAAATTCAAGTAGCAATTTATTGAACAATAACCACACAAATTTAATTTGATTCAAATAATACTTATGTAGGTGTGTATACACACACCTAGCCTGTTTTAAGTCCAAATATTTAAATAATTCTATATACATATTTCATTACCATCTCTAGATTAATATGTGAAAAATAGAATTCGTAGAAGCTGCTGGCTATTATACTTCCAAGATTAAGTATAATCACTGAGGTCATTCAGTTTTTCCATCACAGAAAAATTGGAAATTGTAGGTTCTCTACGATCTCTTCCATAGTCTAAGTACTCACCGTGCTCATTTCCTTTGGAAAATGCACGGCAAGTTAATGTGGAAAGTAGCCTGTAATTTCTGAGCAAATCCATAAAATATAACTCACATGGAGAAGCTCCCTCTTGCCCTGGCCCACATTAATAACTAATTGAATCTTGTTATAATGTGGAATCATCACATGAGGCATATTGTGTTTACTGTAAATCCATTCAGTGTTTCATTTTACTTTTAATTTATGCAAACGTGCAGGTTTTCCTGTACTCATTTTTCAAGGCACTCCCACTTTGTGTGGCTGGGCAGCACTGATAGTTCTGGAACTTTTGAACTTCAAATAAGACACTGTATAAATTCATTGCCAGTCTCACAATGTCATGGAATACTATAAAATCAAATGTAATAAATTTATAAGTATTCTGACATAGCATAAAGAGAAAGTCATATCTTTCCTTATAAAATGCATATAGTAGATGGTCACATTTTTACAATACAATACAGTAAATTGATTACTTCTGTCTAGATATACATGCTTTCAAGAAGGGACCAAAAGAGTCAAAATTTCTAGACTCTAAATTCATTCATTCAGCTACAAAAATATGTTTTCCTAACAGGAAAAATAAGCAACCTGTAACTGATTGATTAGTAGTATGATGTCAACCAAATCAGCCTGGTAGTTATTTCCTTCAAACCTGTGGCCAAACGAACCAAGAGATATGATTTGTTAGCTCAAACTGATGAGTTTCTTAATATAATTTGTTAGAACATGCTTATTTTTCAGTGATTAAAGGTGAAAGCTCTAGTATTAGACTCTTAGTGTTTAAATTCCAGGTTTAAAAATACATTAAGTATGGTCTCCTAAATCTTGTTGTTTCCAATAAAAGGAACTAATACTTCACATGATGATTGTAGTGATTAAAAAAGCAAGTGGATGCATGTGAGAAAATCTCCATGAAAGCAATAAATCCAATGCCAAGTACATTTTGAGATTTGGTTGAATGTCAAGCATATAAAAGTACATGATGGTATATAACACTAACTCTTTATTATAACCTAACAAAAATTCTACAGTTATGCCATTTTAGGAAAATGTTAAGAAATTAAGCCTGCACATATAATCGATTTTTATACTTGATTCTCAGCAAACAGGGAAGTCATATCTTTCCAATGCTGAGCTTACTGTTTCTGTTTTCCTTTATCTTAAAGCAGGATTATTACACTGAGCAGGTTATCCTTTATTCTTTGAGTAAATATGAAAATGACTTAATATATATCTATTGACAACAAAAGAAGAGAAAATGAACTTAAGCCATAACGAAGAGGGAATTACATTAATTCTTAAGAATACTGTCTCAAAACCAGAAAGAAATGGTAAGCTACACAAAAGTACACTTTGGATTGTCTGCCTATGGAGATTTTTAGAAGTGGAGAAAATGCTTTTAATGGATGGTTTTTCAAGTTTTAGAACCTCTCACCATTGTTTTTATGCTACCTGGTCATCAGTTTTTCTAATTTTTTTGAATCTTACATTTTAATATTTAGAGATCCTTTGGACATAAATATGGATTGAGAATTAATATTTTCTGACCCAATAGGTGTTGGTTCATGTCTCCCATGCAATTGAACTACTTTAATAACTGGGTTTTTCTGACATGATAAAGTGGGTATATGGTTAATATATTGCCTTAGGAATCTGATACAAGCAACTTTAAAGTGGAAGACTATGGAATTAATCCAACCATGAGCAAAGGTATCAGTGAGAGATTTAAAGATCCTAGGAGCATATTGAGGGTCTTGGTGTTGTGGAGATTCAGGGAGACATACAGAAAAGTTGATATAATTCCTGTTTTCTCATTGCTTTGAGTTAGCGATGGAATCCCCTCCCCCTCTCACACCTCTCACAAAAGAATCTCCACCATCTGTCTGTTATAAAGGAAGGAGATTTGATCATTATAGCCCAGCACCAAGATCAGTGCCTCACACAAAGTACATACTCAAGAAATACCTACTAAGAGCTGAATAAAATTCTTCGTTCATCCTTTTAAATCTAAGTCTCTGACTACAGCCATTTGTTTTTAAGACAAATAATTCAGACATACAGTGAAAATGCAGCATAATATTATCCTATGGGCCAATCTCACAACCTAACTACTATTTCTGCTCTATTTCTCTAGGAATATGTGTAAATGTCTGCTCATATCCATTTCATAAGTGACAAGCTGACCTATGTGCTCAGAAACTTCATGTTCCAGTTCATCTTAGGTTTAAATTACTTTCAGAGTAAATAATTCCTGAGTTAAAACTTTTCATAGGTGGAATCATTTTCCAAGAAAACCCATTGTGAAAAGGACAGTATAAAATTTTCCTCATCATTTTGTATTCTTTAAAAGTCTCCTCTACAAAATAGAAAATAATTTTGGATAGAGATTTATAGCTCTCCAATTTAAACTACTACTTCATTTGACCTAGATTTCATAATTACTCTACTTTTCTAAAGTTAGACTTATTAAAATGACCTGAATCTAGTTCAGTTAGAGCAGTGAGTAGCTCTAAGCATGTCCTGTCTTCTCAGAGTTTAACTTTAAGCTATTGTTGCTTCATTCTGAAATAGTGTGGCATGCAATCATGTGATTCTTTACAATTATTCATATTTTACTAATGTAGAAAGCTGTAATTTGTTTCACTCTTGTACAAATCTGTATACATTTTTATCAGTATATATCATTGGTTATATTGCTGTGTACAGGCTGGTTGTATTTATAGAATCAAGGTTTCTTTTGGGATAGTGATTTTTTTTAAAAAATTCAAATTTTTAAATTTTACCTCCCGAGTATATGGATTTATATCCTAAGAATCAAAGGGATGCAGAAATAAAGCATGTTCTCAGGTTTGTTATTTTTGCTTTATTGTATTTGTTTTGGTTTTAACTGCCATGTAATTTCAACACATTCTTACAATGACCTTTTCTTTTTCTTTGAGCATTTGGTAAGACTTAGAAAAATGCCCCCCGACTTTAATATGCAAGAATCAAGAGTGACTTATAGATAAAAGGAAGTAAGGAGACATTTTTAAAATGGGACAGGGGCTCAAGAAATGGAGGAAAGGTGAAGGAAGGAGCACAAAGGTGATTTTATAAAGCTGATTAAACAGACAGACCTTTTGCAAGTGTGAAGGAGACCAAGAGATGGGGGGAACAAGATGGGGAGGAGATGTAAACAGAATCAAGCTGTGATATGAACATGCACCAACTCCCCACAATAATGTGATCCTTATGTGCTACAACTGTATTAATACACATTAATTTTTTTTAAAAGAACAAAGAAAAAAAAGAGAGCAACTGGCTTGTGTTTCTGTATTCCTAGGCTTTATACTTGAGGTACATATTGGAACGTGATAGTTGACCTTGATGATAGTCCTGAAAATAGGACAATACAGGGGAAGCAAACAAGGTGAAGAACCTAAGTTTGACAGTGTACATATAAGCTTAGTTTTTTGTTGTTCTTGTTTTGTTTTGTTTTGGTATCGGGGATTGAACACATTTGCAAGGGAGGCACTTATTTCGCTGAGCTAAATCCCCGGCCCTCCTTGTCTAATTTCTGTATAACTCAGTTTCCTAAGTTCTATTTCTAGTGCCAACAACAACAACAAGATGGAGGAGGGACATCTAAAAAAAAAAAAAAAATCATACCTTGTCTATGAATTCTTCAACTTTTTATTTCTCTCAATGTATTTTGGGGAAAGGTACATGAAACACTGTTATTATGTCTCTTTTTATGACTTCTTCTGGTGGTGTTTTTTGAGGTCAGGACATTGCTCTCTATTTCGAGATACCCTGATCCAGTAGAAATGAGAATGTTCACTTCATCTTAATGTTCCTGGATAAGCGAGGGTTCCATCTCTCACATTCGTGCCAGTGTCACAGAAGCCCAGGCGGTTGAGAGATGTTATTTTCACAGGGACAGGAAATATGTGAAATAAATAAGCTACTGGGAAAATACTGGCCACTCAGACAATGACTTTTTAAAATAAAGACGTGCAACAACGTAGACATTTTAATGGGATTCTTGAACACGCACTTATCAAGAATTTCTATGCCTTCACCATGACACTCTGTGAAATGATGAAATGAACAATGAATATAGAGTCAAACAGCAATGTACTCTTTGTCTAGAGGATCCTGGAGGGAATATGAATGACTCATTTTGACGTGTCTTGGTTTTTTATTTCATACTTAAGAATGACAAGTTTAAGGCTAAGGGTCAGCTGCTCAAATCAGATTGCAGTGAGAATTCCAAGTCACTGGCTTGTAAACCTGTGACCTCATGCTGCTCCTAACCTTCCTGACGCTCAGGGTTTTCTTCTGGAAAATGAGGTAACAATATCTACAACTTTATGGTTATGGAAAATAATAAATTATATTTTTAGCTAAACTGAAGATATAATTTAAGAATGAGGGGTCTGGAACACAGTAAATATTCAAGTAAATATTAGTAGCATATATGAATATACTTATGAAAAACAATGCTATTATTGAATAATATTAAATATATAATATTGAATACCATTGAATTAT